ACCGCGCGTTAAAAGCACGTTGCTGTAATAATTAACATTAAATAATAATAACGATGATTAAGAAGATATTAAGATCACACCTTGCATTGTACAGAAAGCATAATAATTGTTAGTTTAGGTAGAACAAACATTACGATCTACTATCTAATTATAATCCAGTACGACTAAGATGGCTAAGATTTAATCGCGTAATCCCTCTGTCACGAGTTACTGCGGTCGCGTAGGCAGGTACATACCGCTCTCTGATATTTATTGTCTGCCTGATCAGTGGATTTCGTTGAAGAGAGGACGCCTTGTCCGTGCCGTCGAGAAGCTTCGCTCTTTACTTAAAAGAGAAGGAGGCGAGATCCTTTCGGTCAGGGTTTCCACCCGAAATGGGTGAAGAGGAATAAAAGGATTCCGCGGACGCGAAAGCGAGGTCTTCTTCTCTTTTTCAAGCCTACGTTTCCACCCTTCGGCCGCGTGTTCGCATTCCATCTCCCCGTGCTCCATCGAGTCGCCTAACTGATCGTCCCGCGAGGCGCAAGCGTTTTCCCTTCCCGCTGTTTAAATCCACGTCGGTCTTTCGCGCAGCCTCGTTCGCGTGCGATCGCCTTATTTCTCGGATCAATCGAGCTCCGTTAAACGGATCGTCGTGACGAGTCTGTCCGGACCATCCGATGTTATCCTGCTCTCGCAGAAGTGCACAGCCTCGGATCTCGTAACTTTAGCTTTAGAGCGAACTCCTCGTGGTAGGAATTGAGAGAGAGAGAGAGAGAGAGAGAGAGAGAGAGAGAGAGAACACCTATCGTCGTCAATTTCTTATCGCTAGGTAAAGAGAGAAAGGAGAGAGTGAGATTCTATAAGAGTAACGTTATCGGCGCACGACAGCTGACTGTACGTTAAACGAATCTGGCCTAAAGATTTAAGGAATGTCGCGTTTCCTCGTCACTGTCAATCGACCGATCATCCTGACGCTCGTCCTCGTCCAGGACCGCTCCAGTCCTCCCGGACCGAGGATCGGCCGTACGAATGTCTATTAATCTCCTTGTCTTCAATCTGTACGACTTTTATCGCTTTCGACCTCGCTCGTTTCAGCACTCGAAATCCTTTTCACGTTTTCAACGACCTCGTCGTCACTGTCGTCAAGTTGAGACGCAGGAAAGCGTTTTCTTCCTCTTCTTGCTTTTTTTTTATCTGGCGGCTTAAATAGCAGCGAACCGGAGTAACGTTCGCGAAGGCTCTGTCGCGAGCGTTTTCCTCGTGAGCGTCTCATTAGGTAGCTAATTGCGGAAGCTGGCACGTCTTCCTTGAGAAGCTTCGTTGTTTTCTTTTTGTTCCGAGCGCAAGCGAAACACCGCAGTTAAAGCGCAGCAAAACGTGTCGAGAGGGACGAACTATGAGAAACATAACAAACGACAAACCTAGTCACACAATTTCCGCGTTCTCGAATTATATTTATTCATCGCGATTAGCCGGAGTACACACCGCGGGAGTTCGAATAGAAGGAGAGTGAGAGAGATGGAGAGACATCGTTTAATCATTAAATACACTTCTTCATTGCATTTGTACGTAGAATAGGATAGAAGAGAAAGATTTGTGCAGCGGATCGATCTACGTAGGGATCTTCGGACGTGCGACCCACGATTTCCGGACGTGCAGACGCACGCAGGAGAGAAAGGAAGAGGTGCCCGGCGAGAAATGACCCCGGCGATCGGTGTCGATTCAACGAATCATTTCTCACTGGGGGGGGGACGAGCGTGGAGGAATCCTGGGTGTCCGTGAACACGTGGGTCGATGTCATGTCGGTGCAATTATTAATTACGAGAGGCTACTTCAATAACCTTATGAGTGTCAATTCCAATTTCAAGTGTAAATTGTAATTTCACGAGAGTCTTAAGAGAAAAGAACGAAAAAGGGGGGGGAGGGGGGCGGAAGCAAGAGAGCGGGAGAGAGATGATGCGGCGTCAAACGACGGGAGAGAGGATCTTGAACGGTTTAAAATATTTAAAAAACTAAGAGTCGCACGTATTTCACGGCGTGGCAAAGTGAGATTACTGATAAACTTAATTTATCGAAGCCGATAAAAAAATCTTAGGGGCGAAAGGTAGCGTGTGTGTTTGCGTGCGAGGGAGAAAGAGAAAAATGTGTGTGCGCGAGGTAAAAGAATGAGAGGTAGAGAGAATGTTAAATTAAAAAGATAAAAAAGTAAAAAAAAGACAAACTAAATCGTAGCACGTGCAGGAGTAACGGAGGTAATGGATACTTTTTATTGTAGCTATTTCATATAGATGAGATTCGTAAAAGTAATAAAAAGAAAAGGAGCATACTGTACTAACAGGAATATTTACCGAAAGAGAAACTCTAAGGTCAACGGTGTTTTTTCTGCCTATACGTATATCCGACATCTCGCGAGCGCGCTGTGTAATTTCTCTCCGCGTATAAGAAACTCTAAATGCTGAACGAAAAGCCGCAAAAAGGGCATACAAAAAAAAATCCGACGGCAGACGTGTCAATATAAATCTGGCATCTCTTGCGTTCTTGTCTCTGACTAATGATTAACTATTACTAATACTGTTATTATCACCGTCATCATCACCACCATAAACACTGTACAAAGTCGGCAATAATTTTAAGAGACCCGCCCCCTGAGACCCGTCTTGTGTAACCGTTCGCTCGGGGACGAGCGAGGTGGAAGGTCGCCACCTCGTCGGCTCCGAGGGAAGCCCTTCCCCTCCGGTTTTACAGGCGAGGAGGGGCTACTGAATCTTACGAGTTGGAGAGAGTGAAAACCAACATTCGGACAATGAAAATGTCCAAGAAATATCCGACGGACCACAGTAACGTTTGATCCGCGAGTGGTCGTGCTACAAGCGTCAGTTTCGCGTGGCTATTACGCAATTATTGTAAAAGTGGAAAATAGAAATGGAACGATCGGAGAAAGTAACGATTAGAACGAAATTAAAGAGACAAAACTTAAGACGGTAATTAAAGGGAAAACGCGTAAATTTGTGCTTCGATTAAAAGTCTCTTTTAGTCGCACTAAACAATGGTACAAATTATCGGTCTATCGTAGAGGAGAGCCCTCTATTATGAGACAGGATTCTAATGTGAGATCGTAGGTTTTCAACGTCCAAATTCAACCAGAAATCTTTTTTTCGCAACGATTACACGATCTACCAATCAATTTTCTGCTAAACAGATTTCACTCCAAGGGCTATAAATTCACGGTGGAACCAACAGACGATGCCTATTAATTCAGCAGAAACTCCGCTATCCCGTATTAGAAACCTATCTCATAATAGGGGGACTTGCTCTACAAGTAAATATCTACTTTAAGTTTCGATATTTGACAATTTGATAGAATATGTAAACGAATATATCTTTACTTGAATCATATTTGTCGCGTCTCAACGCGATCACTCGCGGATAGAATGACATTCTCAATCCACCGTTCTTATCAAGTTACTCGTCTCGTCAAGCTTAAGATTTCAACAACGTCGGCCGATCGTACTAGCATCCGCTCTAAGAAAGGGTGTCGATTAGATTAACATCTGAAATCAATCGATATTGATGGAATGAAGCGGCGAAGATATTTCTCGGACTTTTGTTGCTCGGATGTAGTGGCGATTAATACCGCAGTAGAGATAACACGTGATCAAGTGAATGTGCCCTTTCGTCGTGTAATCAAGCACAAAAGGAAGAATCCCTTTTACGAGCGTAGCAGTAGGCCTCTAGCCGTGTGTCCGGCAAGGAAATCTAGCTGCCTTCGAGGACATCGCTGCAAAACTGTAATCTCGTCTCGCCGGCCGCGCGAACAAAAAAATGCTTATCGCTTTCGCAGCGCAATTTTCGCTCTACGGGAACCGTTACTTCTTATCACTAGAGCTCGCATCACCTTCAGACTGCGTTTATCACTCCGGCAGCCCCGAGGCGGACGGCTGGCGAGGGAAAATTTATCACGAAATCCGGTGTGTCGAATGCAGTTAGAGGTCGCCGGATTGTGCCACGAAAAAGTAAAAACGCGTTTATTCTCTCGACCAACGAGACTCGAAGCGGCGGCTCGCGTCAGCAGGGGCAACTTTCGGCCTCGAGATCGCGGCTTCGTATCCTCGTGACGATACGCGAGCTCGGAAAACACTTAAGCGATATTTAACGATATCTAAAACACTTGGACTGCCTAACGAAAAAACAAACAAACACGACGTCTGAAGAATTGGGACATTCCGAAAATAGGGCGTCTGTAGGAAAAATCGAGGCATTCGAGAAATTCGAAACAACCGTAAAGAATTACGATGTAAAAAGAATTGAACGGCGTCTAAAAGAATGAAAATCTGAATAATTAGGCTACTCTGAAGACGCTTGGAAAATTACTATGTCCCGTGTTAAGTGTCTTAGACACTTGGGTTGTCCGGCGCGACCGATCTCTCGTGACAAAAGTCCCAATTCGGCAAGACGCGACGTCCGCTCCTTCCGGCGCGAATCGCTAGTTTTCGCTCGTGCCGCACTCAAGAAACATCAACGATGTAAGAATAACGACTCTCGATATTCACACACTCATCCGCAAAAGCGAAAAAAAAAGAAGAAAGGAGGAAAGTCAAGCGTTCACTGTACAATTATATTCTTTTACGTTGTAACGACTTACAATTGAGTAGTCGGGTAGCATATTTTGCATTACCGATAACAACAGTAGCGTGTCACTCGTCTTAAACCCTAATTTTATATATCATTCGAGATAAGTAATCCGCAAGAATAAAGATTATAACCAGCACTACAGTGAAGTTACTATACATCTGTAGATAAGCGGTCCGCAAGGAGAATTCAAAAGAACCGACACGATGTTCAATGTATTTAATGATCTTCTTCGAAGGGTGAAGAATATATGAATATATGGGGAATAAAAGAAAAGAGAGAACGGCCTGGTTTCTTGAGTCCTCTCAAGCATCTCCTCCAATCCTCTGCAAATGCAAGACGCGGATCATGGCCGGCGGGAGTGGCGTAGCCATAAAAAACAACGCTTCGTATTCACATATGATTTATTGTAGATAATATCTTGTTAGATCTAATTTACAAGTAGGTCTAATTACAAGCTATGTAGGAAACAAGCTCACTTACTAAAGTAGCTTCGAAATCACACGCAAATAAATTCCATTCTAATTAAACGTTATACATGTAAGTACGCAATAACAAATAACAAGACACATCAAATAAATAATATATACAAAATACAAATGCAAGTTACAAGTTTAGTAAATGAAGGAGATATCGCGCTATTTCTGTAATTATGTACAATTTGTTTACGTATTAGGACAAAGCATGGAATCAACTCGATCTGTCACTATGTTCGATCGACTCAGCAGCCCATCCGCGAACTGGCCATCGTTACCATTCCTTTCCGGGCCGTGAATGGCCTTTTTCCGTATAAAGTAGTTCACCACTGTGGGATCCGAGTAAGACATGGTCAATCTGCATCCCCAGGACAAAAGCGCCAAGGGCTGCACAAATAGGACGACGATTAACAAAAGTACTTGGTAATCTTAAGAATAGTAAGTATAATAAAAGTTCTGATAATAATTCAAATCTTTTATAGGCAGGTTGAGATATCAGAAAACTTGAAAAAAAATGATATGTTAAATTCCTGATGCAATTCTATACTTACTCGTCTTGCATCCAAATAACTGTACGGTGTGATAACGTGCCGCCAGAGACATTTCTTAACGAGACTTTTCAAACGTTCTACCTCTAGTGGATTTGCGCACGGATGATACAGCATGACGATCGCACCGTGCTGTTAACAATAGGATAACGAACGTGAAACATTTTGATAATAAATTTATAAATAATACACTGTCGCAGCTACGATTACCTCGAGACTATGCAGCCATCTCTGTTTGGGCAAGAACTCGTATTCTCCATAAACTGGCCACAAAGGTCTATGGGGACCACTGCAAACCGCATATAAATATTGTTAAGGATTTACAGCAAGAAAATATCAGATACTTACTAAAGTGGAATATCGTCGTCGTATTCAATTCGCTGGTTCATACATTTATGAGCAGCCTGAGAAAAGACTTGGAATTAAAATTTGCACTAACAAACAGTGTATTTATTGACAACAAATACGGGATGTATTTACCTTATACATCTTCGGGATGTTCTCGCAATAAATTCTTGGTCTAATAATGTGACTCGGTTCGATATTATGACCGTAGCATGTATATTCCGCTGGAGTATGATCCCAGTCAATACTTAAGTTGGTCTGAAATTTTATCAACATCAAAATGTACGCTGCATTCTTTGTAAAAGGTATTTAAGCGTTCTTTTCGCAATTAAAACAATCTATAGAGACTATAGTAACCTTAGCATCGTCACAATCTGGTGACACATGGCCCATGTACATCTCGTGAGGAAATTCCATTACAGATTCGTATTCGTATTGCTGATTTTTCGGCAACACCTTGGACGGGGGTTTTGGATCGTCCGGTCTGTCAGGCATCCAACGTCCAGACCAATGCGTC